TTTGAGTACTACCATAACTGATGATTCCCTTCTTTCCCAAGGAAGGAAACAAGCTCTGAATTAATTTTTCCTCTAGGCTTCTCAGAAATCCCATTTTCTTTGTCCTGTCTTTTAGGCTGTCTACACAATCTCTGGTTGTAGCTATGCAAGAAAAAAAATCACGACCTGCCCACAAGCTAAATCCCACAAGTAAAGACAGCTTAGCTACTGGAGAGCAGTCCTGAGCGCACCCAGGATACATGCTCAATATTTGCAGCCTCTCAGCAGCAGTGGGGTACATGCATAGGGCCACTCTAAGTCAGTATACTGCTTCATTTCTGGGATTTAGCATGTGCTGAGTGAGAGAAAGTGGGTGGACACTCCACCTTGGCAGCAAGACGGTGTGGATAAGTACTTAGGTAGTAAGCTGTACAAAATAGGAACTGTCTTAATTTTGAGTCAAGTGCAGAAAAAGGAAACCTGCCTTTAAAAATATTAACAATAATAATAATAATAATAATAATAATAATAATAATAATATTATAATAATCAATACCCTAACTCAAGTTCATTTCTAAAAGAACCAAGCACCAGGTTCTCCCTCTCTTTATCCTGTGGAGGTCTTAAGGTTGACCATCTAAGTCACTCTCTATGCCTTGCCCTTCCTTAGCTACCCAGCAAAATGCTCAAGGATTTCTAGAGTCAAGAAAGGACAGTTAGGGGACCACAAAAGTCTTTCAAGCATCTTGCACTTGTCCAAAAAATACATTCATGACTAAATACTCTGTAATCCATACTCCAGCAAACCAACAGCAACTATCCTTCCACATCAGTCTCTACCTACAAACAAATCATTCAGCTCTTCCTTCCTCTGTGTCCCACAACAACAGTTGCAGTTCCCCTTCCAGAACTTCTGTGAAAGGATGAACAAAACCTCTTGTAACAATGCAATGATTCCAAATTCTAAGCCAGCATGAACCTTGCACTCACACCTTCAATTAAAAGACCTGGGAAGAAAAAAAGGCCAAATCCATGTCCTTCAGAATCCATGTGAAAATTTAGTATTACTGAAAGGCAGAGATTTCCAAGAGCATCTTTAGCAGCAAATTATACCACTCCTTAGGGTCCGCAGAAATCAGAGCTCAAGTAAAAGGCACTCTTCTATAGCATTAGGAAAAGGAACCCGCAGGCCTGAACAGAACTTCCTTTCATTCTGTAATACTCTTTGGGCTTTTGTCCAGGTGGTTCTACTGAAAACGTCTGAGCAAAAAAATAAAATAAGCACCTGAATGGAAGCGACAATGAGATTACTTTACAAACTAGAAACACAAGGTAGTGGTTAAGAAACACACCCACATCTTGACAAAGTTTGCTGGAACAGAAAAGAAGTGCAAAGGTGCAGTTTGGCAGGACATGAGACTGAATGAGAATCAAGGCTGAAGAGCAGACTGAAGCCAAAGCACTAAAAGAAGATCACTGATGCTAGCAACTCTGAAACACCCAGAAAGCAGGTGATTCGCCCCCGCTTCAGGGCTGACTTGCATGAGCTACACCCCAAGCCAGGCAGATACAGGGGTGCTTGGGCCAGTGCAGCACAGTGGGCCGGGGCTGGCACCTGAAGTTTCTCTGGCAGGGGCAGTTTCCCAGCTGCTGGCTGAGAGGTGCCGTCCCCGCCCAGCCACGGGCACCCGCCTTGGCCCAGCCGCGGGGATGAGCGGTCTGAGCAGGGCCAAGGCACAGGGCGAGGCCTGCCCGCCACTCAACCCCTCTCGCGGCCGGGGCTGCGGGGCTGCAGGACGGAGCGGGCTGCGCGGCGGCCTGGAGGAAGGGAAGCGGCCCCTGTCTCGGCCCGCCAGCCTTGGGCCCCCGTGCAGCGCGGACGCTCGCTCGGGCCGGCGGCAATCACGGACCTGGCACCGACCTGTCAGCAGGGGGGTGGGGGGGAAGCCTCGCAGGCCGCGCCGGGGTCCGCCCG